GGACATAAAATATATATTTTAAAGAGATCTACAACTTTTGTTTAAAACATTTTTCAAAATTTTTTATATTTGTGTCTGAAAATTACATATAAATGGTCGACATTGTTTTTTTAATAACTTTTTAACAAACAACGAGCGACGGCTAAAACCTTCTGAGCGTTACTCAGGAGGGTAACCTTGACAACATATGTCAAGGTCAAGGTCATCGGAGCTGACTCCCCTATAGTGAACAATTACCCATTTTTCTGGTTATAAATAAAGTGATGCCTCTCTTTTAGATTTAAATTAAATTTTTATCCGATAAAAACAGACCAACTTGTAGAGGCCCTCCACCACCCCCGTCGCGTTTAATCGACGGTCTTCTTTTCTTTACAATTTCGTTTCTTACATTTGTATTATTTATTTTATTTTTCTTATAATGTACTTTATAATGCATACGATATTATAAAAAAAATTACGTTATAAAATTAAAAATATAATATCTGTATAATACCTACAATATTTATTTCGACGTTACATATGAAATATTACGGTATGTGTACAATAACACGAAATTCTTTTTAGGTACTTATTACATTAAAATTGTTGCTTCATTAATGTATGTTACATAATATTTTACAGTATTTTACACTATCGAATTATGTATCTCTGTCTCTGCCTATTCCGATCTATAGACCTACGTATTCGTGTTTCAACCTACAAATTTTTAATTAACCACGACGCGATTTTATAGGGGTCTGAGTTGCAGTTTAACGCGCCCGCGGGATTTATTAGATTTCACTCTCGTATGTATGCGAGAATATATGTATATATTATAGAAGCGTACACCCACCCGAATTGGAACAAATGAAAAGAAATCAAAGTATATTCATCACCTTCTTACTCCATCAGAGTGGCCAATATTGACCACTTACCTCGTATCTTTCGTTGCTCCTGGCCATACAGTCTGGCCATTTTGACCAGAGATGAGGAAGGATATTTCGTACGGTTCGAACAATATATTACACGAGTGTCGATTGTATCGAAAAATGACCACGAGAAGTTAATTAAAGAATATTAATTAAAAAACTTTACTATGTAACTAATCAAATTTATTTTTACCGCCGTTATTTATTCGAAAATATTGACCTTCTCTTCGTAACATGATGTTTGAATTCGAAATTCAAGTTGATATGGAAAAAAAATTCACTTTGCGTTAGATTGATTTTTATCATATTCCGTGATAAATTGAAATTTATATAGTAATATGGATAAAATTAAACAATAATTTCTTGAAGATTTTTTTGAAAAACCGATCGCGAAAACTGACCGTAAAAATACGAAGATGCGTGTAACTATGCGAGACGCATCTTGAAAGTATATTACATACATACATAAAATACACAGAATAACTGATGTGAGATCCAGAAAAAAGAAACTTTCTTTACGATTTCAACCGATATTATAATCGCATATTATAATTAATTAATAACCGCAAATAATATATGAAAATAAGTTAAAATTTCAATGTTTTCGACCAAATATATTAGAATCTCACGTCATGTTATTTTTTTATTTGAAATCTATTTATTTTGAGGCAACGAATCTACAAGGTATATTAATCTACGATCTACGAAAAGTACATTCGCTGCCTCAATAAAAAAGTTTTTGACTCACCGATATGATACGCAGCTGCGGAGTTTAACTACGTTGATTCTGGAACATCTGTAACAAATAGAAAATTTATATTAGAGCGTTCAAGAAAACTAAAGCGGGGAGCACACGCTTTTGCATAAATGTATAAGCATGTGCATAACAAATTTAATTGGTCCATTTTCCTAGGGCCATCGCACACAAAATTGCATAGCTGCATGTGCATAGCATGAAAACCGTTTGAACCAATGAACATCGAACATTGAGTCGCCATATTGATTTACATAACGCGCTCATTGGTCCAGACGGTCTTGTGCTATGCATATGCAACTATGCAATTTTGTGTGCGATGGCCCTTATGCATTTGCTTATAGACCAATCAAATTCATTATGCATATGCTTATGCACTTAGGCAAAAGTGTGTGCTCCCCGCTTAATACTGCGAGGTATAATTCATATGCGTATCAAACTCTTATTCGGTTAGATGTTTAGATTATTGCGCGAAAGATGTTTCGTAAAAGATTATCACGAGAATAAACTTTTATACAATTTCAAATTACTTCTCGTCTTTCAAGTATTATTTTGAATTTATGGAATGATGAAATAAAACGATTCAATAATAAACCGGAGAAAAGATTAATTTGACACAAAATGAAAAATAACATTTACCGTAAAGTTGCTCCGCTGATGTCTGATGCCTCTCCTAGGTTTCCACCTTCACAGGGTTGTCCTTTGACACTCGCGGAAACGACGTCGCACGACTTTACACTCCCGATTGAAAAACCCATTTGAATTAAAGTATTCTGTTCCGTCCAGTTTGCTTTCACTTCGAGTTGGCGAGTATTTATACTCCAAAAACTGCCAAATTTCGAAAGTGTGGCCATTGACAGGAACGGACATTTAATGAATACTTGTTCAAATGGGTTTTCAAAAGTCTTTACTTCGGTTATGTAAACGGCACTCCCGATCGCGACGAAAATGGAGACTTTATTACATACGCGCACTTTTGTACGTATAATTGTCAGTGAGATTACTTCTTGGCAAGCAATTGACATATTATAATTGTTCGTTGCCATTTCACTCGACGATTCGTGTATCACGTGCTGGCACTTTGATCTGAAAGTGATAAATGTTTAACTTGAGTCGACAATTTTAAAGCACGACGTGAGATTCATCCGAGCTCGATTGTTAAAGAAGGTATTATCGCTCGTGGATGAAACTATTATAATAATTTATATGTAATTTCTTTATCGCACTTTCTCTTCAAATTACGCGTGATATTTATCTCGATAAATCACCGTAGATATCAACGATATGATTACGGATCGGAGACACTTAAACGCGATTGATAAATGTTAACGATTCTCGTGAGAAATGATCGCGTTACGAGGAGCGACGCGAAGATACGCGGAACACTCGCCTCGCTCGACTGACTCGCGCCGAATGATTCGGCACAATAGACTATTTTCGACCGAGGTGTTTGCGGCGCTACGTTATTTCTTGGAACCGACGCTCGGCTTTCGACCGAGTTGTTTACGACGCTCGATCTATAGCACTACGTCACTTTGTGGAATTTCGGCGAAACAAGGCCACGCCGTACGCAGGATTATTCACGCGGCGACAATTGAACGAGTTCGATTATACCCCGCGCCGTTCCGCATGTCGTATTGTTATTTTTTTATACGCGTTCGCGACAAGTACGGGAAGAAACCGCGATCGCTCAATCCCCGCGATTTGCCATCGATGCCTCGGTTAGTCGGCAAGACATATCTAGCGCGATTCACACAAGATCTATACATTTATACATCTAAGAATCAAAGCGCTAGCTAACTTGAAATTACTTCTTTATTGCGATAATTACGGGCGATAATTGCTGCTTTGATCGATGCTCGTATTCGAACGCATCTTGTATCGCAGTAAATCTCTTGTTGCTTCGAGCATAATTTGTTGGCTATTTCTAGGTTGAACGCGCGAAATAATACACGAAATGTTGAATCGCGTGTTTTAATTAGCATTTATCGATGATTTATTAATGCCACAAGTTCATATAATTTTTACGGAATTTATAAGTGAAAATACATATGCGACATTGAATTTTTAATTATTTTCGGACGACTGTGTCTCGAATAACTCTGGCTAATAAGTCTCATTAACTCTGTTGCGTTTATTGTACAGTATTGATGTTAAAATGTATAATTTTTGTGCGATGCTCTTGTACATACTTAAGATTATTTTAAGTACAATGTCATTGCATGGAACCTGACCATAGCGCGAGACGCGACCAAAATTGCGCAAATCTGCGTTACCTACTTGGCAAAATGTGGACATTGGCTACGTAGTTCAGGTCCGCGTTTCCTAATATCCACAGAGGGCATAACACATTCGAGGATCACCAAAAACCAGCCGTGGCAGCTCTCAGGCTACTCTCTGCTCGAAGCCCTGATAATAATAAAGAAAATCTAAAGTCAATAGCCTTTAATCAGCATCTCATCGGTTTAATGAAATAGATACAAACATAAATAAACAAATTGATGAAAAACGTAATATCAAATGCCAATGTTAAATTTCGAGAGAAATTGTGATAGCCACGTTTGTCTAATTATTATAGCGATAAAAATTTGTGATACTCTTTCAAAAATCAAATTTGGAAGTAAGAATATCTTACAAATTAAGATGCTGAATCTTACAAGAAATTACCCTAATAGCACATTATGTTAGTGCAATATTGGGAAATTTTGTAAATCTAAGGTTTGCTTTCTGTTCTTGCACTGCTGTAATAGCACAGTGCAGGTTAAACATTTGCCCAATACAAGCAAATATTGAGCCAATGTTTAACCAATGTTTGGTCCATACACTGTGCTACTAGGGTGGTGAACTAGTGCAGTAAAACAGAATGAGAAAAATATACTTGTCTTAAATTTATTACACTAGTTGACCAGTGCAGGAACAGAAAACAAACCTCTAGCATTCCCAATATTGGTCCAATATTGTAAAATGGACGCCTTCTCTTATTTAGCCGACATGTTTATTTAGCAATATTGGTCCAATGTTGTATCAATGTTAGACCAATATTCTTATTACGTTGTTAAATATCGGCCAACGCACTTGCAATATAAATCTAATATTATCTAATTATCGTGCAACACATTTATTCGAGGGTCAGTATCGACCAATGTATTCCTAACATAACCAACATTGGACCAATATTTAGCCGGTGCACTTATATCTTTGCGATGGGCGTACACAGGCAGGCAGGAATATCTGGACATTTCTACAACGTAGCCTACAATTATAGAAATGTCCAAGCATCCCTGGCCGTCCGCTCACATACCTTCCAAGAGTTCCAAGTCGTAACAATGTAAGTTACACAATTGTTGCGAACGTTACAAGCTTCCAGGGCGCATGCGCGAAAAAAAGCGGCACCGCTAGCAACACCACTGGGCCTGGGGCCGCCTGAGTCGGGCCGAGTCGCCGCGCCGTGAAAAATGTCAGCTCGCTGGTGGTAATCGGTGGTGATTCACGCTCGGCCTGCCTCGGCCTGTCTCGCGCGCACGTCAAACGGCCGTACGTCCCGTGTGCCACACCGAGACCAACCGACCCACGATCGACCACGTTCTGCTCGGACCGCGAGCAGGTGAGTGATGACAGCGTGGATACTCGGCGCGCTCGCTACGCGGGTCGCCGCACGCGTCGCGCCGGAACCCCGGAACTTGAACGACGGCGCCCGTTAACGGGCGAGCGAGAGCAGGTTAAGTGCATTCGCCTTGCATCCTACCGTCCTCTACCTTCGGTCCACGCCTGTCCTCGTGCCCTGCTGTCGGTCCCGGACGGCCAGGCGTAAATCGTGGCAGCTGCTGGCGGTTTCACGGTCGCCAAATGGAATCCCCGTTCCCGCTGCACCTGTCAAGTGCACTTTCTAAAGCGTGACTCATGCTATTGCTGACCATTGCTGACGAGGGGGTAAAAAAAAGGCTGGAATGCCGTTCTCGGCAACTGTCTAATTTATCAGCCGTCTGGGTGATAATCTCCAGGTGACGTTGTATTTGTAGTCTGCGGGATGGCAGATAAGAGAGCGGCCTGGTTTATAATTTCATTGTACCTACGGTATACTGTGTGTGCGCCTGCAAAGTTACGCCTGTCTAAAAGATAAATACACTTTTGCACTTGTTTGTAATGCGTCGCTGTACGTGCTAATAATCACACTTTTATTTTATTTTAGTCTTCGGCTGATAATCGATTGATAACACGTATAGTAAATGAATCATGTCGAAAACAAATTGGGCTGGAAAAATGTTAAGATTATATCTCGCTTATCAGGACGACGTTTTCAACGTTCCTTTGATACATAAATTTTCTTGAAACGTGTTTCTACGCGCCACCTTTGCTTTCTGTTAATTGTATATGTAAGGTATAAATTACATTAGGAACATGCCAACACGTGTATGAAAGATATTAATTGTATATAACAGACGTAAAGTCTATTAGGAACGTGTTACTGTACGTGAAAGCTATTGGATGGCAGCCGAGAGGTAAACGAGAGGTAAACCGCTGAGAGCACCGTGGTGTACAGATTTGCGGCATTATAAAGATAAAATAAGATAAGATAAAGTAATGCCCGCTGGGCATTAGCAGGCATTGGTGTGGATGATTTTGCTCAGCGGCTCACCCCTCGATGGTAGCTTTAATGAAATAAGAGTAACCAGAACCTTATGCGTGCGATTGAAAAATAGCAACGCTTGTTTGGATTGTTAAGAACGATATTCCCGTAGGATGATGGAGGAACCACTGAGTCAGGGTGCCTCACCATCCAGCGACGGCAACTTCCCGGCGGGTGGCGGCGGCGAACTCAACTCGACCACCACAGTCGGTCTGGACGAGAGGATACTGGACGTCTCGTCGCGGCATACCCTGAACGTCCTTAGAACCCCACCGACGAAGAAAGCCAAGAGAGTTCGATTCTTCCGCAACGGAGACAAGTATTACACAGGTGTGGTGATGGCAGTGACGCCTGAGAGATATCGCAGCTTCGACAGCCTCGCGTCCGATCTGACCCGTGCTCTGGTGTCGAGCGTGACCCTGCCGAGCGGTGTGCGAGCGATATACACTATGGATGGCCGCAAGGTTCAGAGCGTCGGCGACCTAGAGGATGGCAAGTGCTACGTGGTGTCTGGCCAGGGCGAGATGTTTAAAAAGGTGGAGTACTCGGCATCCAAGGTCCGTCGTGGGAGCTCGTTGTCTGGGCTGCCGCAGTCGCCGGCAGCCAGCAGCGGTGGCGGTGGCACCGGCAGGCAGACCAGCGCCATTCCGCTGTGCGTGAAAGCGCGCATCGTGACGCTGATCCGCCACGGTACCAAGCCGCGTAAGGTGATGCGCTTGTTGTTGAACAAGCGCAACGCGCCGAGCCTCGAGCACGCGATGGAAGCGATTACGGAGGCGGTCAAACTCGACACTGGAGCGGTGAGAAAGGTGTACACGTTGTCGGGTCAGCAAGTGACCTCGCTCGAGCAATTCTTTGAGAACGACGACATCTTCGTGGCCTACGGCCCGGAGAAGTCTGTACAGGAAGATTTTGAGTTGGACTTCGAGGAGAGTAAATCTGTTCAGAGCTTCCGCCGATGTCCGTGGAGCTCCAAACGACAGAGCGGCCCGATGCCGCGGATGCCGAGGAAGTCTGGCAAGAAGGCGCTCACCACGCCGCAAGTCAGGACCCCTAGTCCTTCATCTCTGATATTGCCACAGCCTCTGAGATTGCATTACACCGTGGGACACATCATTGGGGACGGAAACTTTGCTGTCGTTAGGCATTGCACGCACAAGTAAGCATTCCAGAGCACAGGAGTCTTTAAATAAAAAAATCTTATGCAAATTATATTAATTCCAGCTTTGTAAGTCAGAAGATGTTATCTTCTTCGAAGATTATTGTACGATATGTGTGCAAAAAATTGAGTCAATTTTTATATTGGAAATATAATTGGCATGCAAATGTAACACCATATTATAACTTATTTAGCCAGAAGTGTCTTTTAGTTTTTTTTAGTATTTAAAAAAATGTAATACGAAAGATTGATAATATTTTAGATCTAGCGGTGCTGAATACGCTATGAAAATTGTGGATAAGTACAAGTGTCAAGGGAAGGAGACAATGCTAGCAAGCGAAGTAGCGATACTGAGACAAGTCTGCCATCCCAATATAATTAGTTTGATCGCGGAACAAGATACTGCCGATCAGCTGTTTTTAGTTATGGAACTCGTCAAGGTACGCCTGTACCATCAAAATTGAAAGGCACTTAACAGTGTTAAACATTAACGATAAATTTTGAACTTAATTTATCATGTAAATCCAATTGCAAATATGTAATGACTGAAACGATATTTGCCTAGGGTGGAGATTTATTCGATGCAATCGCAGTTGCGACCAAGTTCTCCGAGGCAGAAGCGAGTGTGATGATCAGTCACTTGACTTCCGCCTTGGCTTACCTACATTCGCACCATATCGTACATCGCGACGTGAAGCCGGAGAATCTTTTAGTCGAGATGGACGGCAGTCACGTTAGATGCTTGAAACTGGGCGATTTCGGACTCGCACAGGTAGTGCGAGAACCTTTGTACACAGTCTGTGGTACGCCCACTTATGTGGCACCAGAAATTCTCGCCGAAACTGGATATGGTTTAAAGGTACGTTAACATGTTGTAGCGAATTAAAGGAAAACAGTTTTAACGACAAAAATATAAGAATTCCCAATGTTAATCTCTACGTACAAGATATCAATTTTTCAAACAAATGTTTATATCTGTCAATGACTTAAGTGTACATAAATGTATTGGTTTTCTTTAGATTGATGTGTGGGCGGCCGGAGTAATTCTATACATTCTCCTTTGCGGCTTTCCACCGTTCGTATCGGTAGATAACGAACAGGAAGAATTATTTGAGCGTATCCTGAGCGGTCAATACGCATTTACAGCACCGTATTGGGACACGATATCGTTTTCCGCAAAGCAGCTCATCACGAACATGCTGCAGGCACAGCCTGAACTTCGCTTCAGCGCGGAGGACGTGCTAGATCATCCGTGGCTCGCGGTAACTGTCACTGACATACGACATTATTATTGTACCTCACAAATTAGAAAAGTCACCGCGTTGCCACACCCGCATGGCTTAAGACCCCTCTCTCACTGTCTCACAGTAATCGAAGATAAGTTTATCGGGTGGTCCTCCGCTAGACGACACGTTCGCTATCGCATTTATTATTTTGGGCACCATTTCTTCAAATCCCACCAATTTGTCACGCCACGCTGCACGGGAAAAGACTTCAGCGGGTTTATTAATGTAATAATTAAAAATTCAACAATGCCTTTTGCCAGAGAAATTATCTTGAGTTTTGAATTTATTTAATTTTATTATTACTTAGTCCATAAAGAATTCTACATAAATAATTTCGGGGAAGAAAACGAAACATTAATACCTATAGAACTTGTTTTACAAATTCTTAAAGAAAGATTACGTATTATGAAATTCGTTATGATTCTTTGCTTGGTGAGCTGAAGAAAATTTCCATGTTACGAGCGTGGTGTGATTGAAGACCTTGCCTCCTTCGCACTTTATTGGCTTTATTTCGAACACAAGACTATGAAGGCTTTTGTAGTGGTTTGCTGTATCTGTAGCAGTGCTTTTTCTTTTCTTTTGTCCCGCCTCTGTATATCAGCAGAGCTTTCTAGGAGGCGAGCAGACCGCAGCAACAGCAACAGCCACCGACGCATCGGCGGAGCAATACTGGAATCAGCAGTGTAAGCCGATAAGATTGGCTACCTTTGAGTTCGACTTCAAGAAACAGCGCAGTCAACGACAGGGTGACGACACCACGACAAGAACCGATTGGAAGAGTGATATTAATCATTGCGACGTACCGGAGTTCATCAATGCCCAGAGAAAATCGAATGATGAAAATCGCGATGAAATCGATTTTGCCAACGGCAATAGCAACGAAAATGATTTAGTGTCTCTTAGCTACGACTGTCTGAAAGATGTCAATAGTCTGAGTCGATCAATGCACGACTTAATAGATAATCTCAACGACAACAGAAGGCCGCGACGCCGTCTTGAATCGCAAAGCGCTACGTCGTCGCTCAACAGCATTCCAGAAAATTTAAATACGTTTAATTATCGCAGCAATTCACCGATTTGTCTCGATGAAATCGCCGAAAAGACTTGCAGGGATTATCGAGGCGATCGGAAAAACGGAAACTCGGTGAAAGAGCCCAAGTACCTCCATTCGAACTGTGAGACGCCAAAGTCGGCGAAGAAATCTGTTGTCACGAATCGGAAGAACGTGTACGGGATGAGTCGTGAGAGCAGATTCGACAGCGATGATTTCCGTAATAGCAACGCAACTGCGTCGACATCGAGTGACAGTTTGACTGGCGACAGTTCGACCGGCAATGACATCGAGACTTCCGACAGCTTTGTAAACATTCAATTCGCACGATTGGCACGCGGGCAAAAGTCGAGCTCGACACAAAGCATGGAGTCGACTGACAGCTTCGAGAATGTGAGTTTCCGATACACGAACCGGAACAACTGTCTCAAGGATCATTTATCGCAGATTTCTTCAAAGCTCGTCAACAACCAGGATCAGAATGCGCCTACCGCGAGGATACTGCAAACCCGAATAGCTGTGTTGAAAACATTAAGATCACCTAAACTGGACAATCAGTCCGACAAAAAGAACTGTAACAGTCCGTTCAGTAGGGTGCAAGAAATGAACAAGTCGACAAAGAACGAGCCAGTGAAACTACGGCATGAAGGATACATTAATAAGAAGAGTCAGATAGATTCAAGAAATGCCAAGAGCAAGAGATACAGTTGCTTTTCTCCATGCGCAACAAAGAGATTGCCCGAGGAAGTTGGCAGCAGCGGTGATAAAGTTACAACGCGGAAGTTTAGCTCGACTGATGAATTGCGCGACGAAACTAGGCAGACGCCGACAACGCGTTTAAAGCGGTTTAGCCTGTATTATACACCACAGCCGTTGAGGAAGACATACGAGAGTGAAGTGAAGACCGGGAGGATCGCGTACAAGCCGGCGGGTCGCGTTCAGCGATCCGAGACGAATAAGGGAAGGGATGGAGAGGAGGTTGAAAAAGTACAGAGGTTGGAAAAAGTAGACAGGAGCCGGAGATCAGTGATGGACGCTTCGACGATTGCTAGCAGGGGCAAATCCAACAGGCAAAATGTTCACGTGAGACCAAGCGGCGTACTGAACGTGGCCAGAACGAAGTGATAACGAGTAGAAGAATCAAGATGATTCGCCGAAGATGTGTGGACGCTGTGACGAAATCCAAAGTCCAAGCGCTTTACAAATGGGACAATTGCGATATTGGTTAAAATCATTAAGTTGGTTGACACTCTTGCGTAGCGATCGAAAAAGCGAGCCTCGAAGTTGACAACTATTTTCTTAGCGAGTGCGTACATGCGTTGAGAAAAGTTCCGCTTTAAACTGTACTATGAAATTACCAACAACTAAGTAGAATGACACTAAACATTTTGCGAAGGAAGAAACGATCTCATAATCCTTAGATTTGGGACTTTCAAGTCTGACGGTATTAACGAAAAGCATTGTAGCCTATCGTAATCGATAATATCTATTTTTTCCAAAAGCTTTCAGTTTATTAGTTACGATAAACACAAAAAGAGTTAAATACAAAACGAGGAATTACAAAGTCACAATATTTTTTTACGGTATACAACTAATGAAATGGCGTAGGAAAATAATTGTACAGATTTGTAAAATACAGTTATAACACTTTTCATTGATGCCATCCAGAAAGAAATCCTCAAATCTTGTAGATTATTCAACACAGAGTAGTGTGAGATGTTGCAGAACTGTTTTTAATTTACATACATTTCGATACAATTTTTATTACTGTTGAAGATTGAAATAGCTGAGAAAGACCAAAGACAGATACATAACTGCGAAGTACACAAGATTTTTCAGAAGAAAACTGGATAAAAATTCATATCTGCAAAAATTATACTTACCAGTATTAACTTCTAGAGTTAATCTGGAGGACTTGTAGATTATTAAAATCCCGGTTGAAGAAATTCGTCCTTTTTTAGATACCCTTTTAGTTAGAGTAAGAATAATATATATATATAATTTCGCAATAGAGAGTGCTAATTGATGTAACCAGTCCTTAATCGTCCGGGATTAGAGGATGACTATGTCAATAGTGCCGATGTAGTAGTAGATCGATAGCGAATGATGATGCCGGCGAAGATTGAAACGGACGAGTTTGGAATTAAGAACAAAACATGCCAAATGCATTTAAGTAGGTTATTTTATATATCGGATGTCTAGTACACCACGTAAGTCTAGCTATAGGTAAAACGCAAATAGACGGAGTATTCAACCCTTTCGATTCCATGGCGCGAAACAGGCTTCAACAGACTATGTGTTAACGTGAAAATTAATCTTGTGGCGACTCTTGGCTTATTTATATTGGTATTTACATGTCTCGTTTTAAATTAAGGGAAATTTGTCTTAGGTAAAAATGCGATTTTAAGGTAAAAGTTACACCGAGAGTAGGTTCTTTTCTTGAAGAGTGCAATGTAGAAACGAAAGGGTTAAGGTAGAGAATAATAATAGTAGGAGGATAAAGCTTCATTTTCGAGCGATTAGCGATTGGTATTAATAACACAAGAATTTTCGCAGCGGAAGACAAAGGGCGACGAATTGGGTGATTTTGGGATGCTGGATAAGCGTAGTGCACATTGAACTTACTCAAGGAAAGGCGAGAAGATAATTATTTTTATAAAGGAGCCGCGTCGTATTAGCAATAAGATGTGACACTGGAAAATTGACAAACGAGTGCATGCGCTGCAGAAAAAGAAAGATGACTATTATTAAAATTATTTTTGTAGGTGTTGATAAAGTGAAGGCAAGAATTGACAGTGTCATCTTTATCACACTGGAGAATATTCTTCCGCAGACTTATTGTCAATTTTATCCAATTAATGAAGGACGGTTTGAAAAGGAGCAAAACATTGTGAATTTTTGACATCCGAAAGTTTCAAAAATACTCAAAGAATGAGTTACTTTTAAACGTCGAGATTCGTTCAAGTCTTGGCTGAACTTTATCAATTGTGAAAATTGTCAGAATCATAACATCGCGCTCTTTGTCGCTCGATCGTTGCTAATCTGTGGTCTCACTTTTGCTGCAGCGATTCCCGACGATTTTCGTATCGCGCTCGTGTGATGTCTGTCGACAAATCGTGTACATACATAATTATAATGACGTGTGTGTAAGGCTTGATTACTCGTGAAATGATGAAAACAATGTTACTGTGATTCGTTCGCTCGTCATTCATTTATTCGCGTTTCCTAGCGCGGAGTCCGAACTTAAGAATTTTGTTAATAAACGGTAATAATTACTCTTTTGTTTCTCGTTCTTGTTTTGTTGTATTGTTCTTTATGTCGTAATAAGCGTACCGACTTGCGCGCAATTTATGGTAGTTCGTAGGTTTTAAACGTGATTCACGCCAAAAATTTAAGATGCATATTGTGACTTTAGGTATTTATATTATATATATTATTATATTATACATACATATATATATAGATATAATATTCGTATAAGAAAACAAACAAATCTCTTATCACGCAACTCCATTCTCCAAATTTAACTATATGTATATCAGACGTCCATCCGTTTTGTTAACGATTTGCAGGAGTAGAATTAAAAGAAAGACACCTCGCCAGTATGTTTTGCGATGTTAATTTTATGTTTATTTCCCCAAAAGACGCATTGTATAAATATAATTAATAAAACATTCTAACGATCTTGCAATTATTGATTAAGTATGTTCCGCTGAGCCCCAATTAACGAGCACTGATGCAACGGAAAATGGCGGAACGTAGTTAAATTTACACGAAAGATAGCTCATTGTTAACATTATTTTAGCAAACGTTTAAATTATGTTCTTTATAGTTTTTAATGTGTAGAGTATATCTCAATTATGAGAGACTTTGCTTTACCAGGTTTTGCACAGCCGAGAGAATTTCTGCGTTTGTTTCCAGCGTATATTAGGGAGCGAATAAATTGCATTTCTCGTGCGGTCGATTGCACCGGTGTTCGTGCGATGCTTGATGGCACTACGAGTTTCTATTTTATTACTATTTCAATTACTCGAGATTATTAAGCAACACACATCATTATCATAAATGCACCCGCAGCTATTTAATGTACTGCCACGAAACTTATATTGAAAAATATAATTACGAAATTTCACCGCATCTCGAGTCCCTGTTCCTTCCATCGTTTCCACGCTAATCGCCTGAAGCTAAATGTCGACAATAAAACGATCGTCATTTCCTATTTCACCTACTTGCTTAGGTTGAAAAACGATTCATGTTCCATTCGTCGATCGTACATGTAATGAGACATTGAAACTTGAAACCACTTGTGTTAATACGTTTGAGAATTAAACTTTACTCGACATTACATAATTTATATAAGACATTATTTCGATTATTGCAATCGATACGCTAATCAAATTGGAGTACGTTCCTTTGTATATTTTATTAATATCGTAACAATAAATATTTAAGTATAAAACTATAAATTACATCAACACGTTTGAATTACGTTAAAGTGTAGCAATACGCTGATCAAGCGCAGTGCTAAATACTATTGGCATCAACGTATTAATCGTTAAAGTACCCGACGTCGTATTCGTTTATCGCGTTTATCGCGTTTAAATTTGCAACAGCTTTACTGCGTTTTTATTATTTGCCGACAGTTCGATGTGTTATCGTAACCGCGAACAGCAAGTTTTTTGCTTATTTTGAACACAGCGGTGACCTCCCGGCTTCTCTCTCTCTCTCCCTCCCTCCCACCTCTACTTCCGCCCGCATCGCAGCACAGGTTTGTACACGCGCGGCCGCGTCGTATTCTCGCTCGATTTTCGCGCTGAAAATGCATCTCGCGACTCGTTCCCTAACGCGAATGTCTAACGGAGCCGTGTCCCCGATTACGCGGAGTGCTAATTAGTCCGATGCGATCGCGAGGGCGTGCAAACTGGCCGGCAACGGATCGTTTCGCGAGAGGGGACGCGTCGTTCCGTTGATACCTCGTCGATCGGCTACGGTGGGGAAACGATTGATACCTAATTGTCGACGAATTATTCATTACTAGCGTCGCGCGCATCGAGCGGATCAATCAACGTTCAAATGACACGTCGTGAACATTTGGGCGATGATCGCGATTGGGATTTTTCGGGCTACGGCGTTTCCGCGTAGCGGCGTGAAGTTGGCGCGATTCAAAATCCCCCCCGACTTCAGTCCAGTCGTCCAATGGCGTCGCGCGCACCCGGTGGGCCGTGGGCGTCAGGAGTTTCGCGTCTCGTCGCGTCGGTTTACTCGGCAACTTTTTGATTCGGGACAATGCCCGCAGCGATCGCCGGGAGTGCGGGATCGCGTAGGATCGTCGGCGTCGATTATTCGCGTAAAGATGTGCGCGCAAGTTTCCGGACGGTGCGCGCGGACGAGTGGCAGATGGTTCGGCGCAATGACGAGATCCAACGGCGCGGCGACGTAGGCAGGTATTGAATTTATCTCGCGTCTATCACAAGACGGAAATATATCTACGTCTCGACACGCTAGAGATGTCGGAAACGGTTTCAGAATTTGAGCATCGCAGTTCTAGATTCGCCGCGGTTTCACCCGCTTAAATCCTAACCTTCCAGGCTTCGAATTCCTGCGTCAATTCGACATCGTATCGACATCGATCGGCGGATCACTTCTCCCTGGGAGGCGACGGACAAGATTAATAATGAATTGGCTAGTTGAAGCTGAGGTTAATCGACGTGGGAGAAGCAAGGCCTCAGGTATCTTTCAACACCTGAAACACCGGCGGAAAGCGGGACCGATCGATCTTTAATCGGATAAAACGTCAGTGTGATATTAAATTGATAAATTTGATAAAATAATCGACAGCACGATTTACTTCGCAATGATTGATTTATTGCGTGATGCGTATAATATATTATATATTGTGTTTCTCTTATATTACTTCAATTTATTTGGAATGTATAACATTTAATTAACTTTGCTTCGTAGGTGCTCTCGGTGGGCTATTTTGACGTCACCATGATGCATAAGAAACGATGTCATCTTGATGTTTTCGCGAGCGATATGTTCTACTTGGGACGGCGACCATTTCGGATATATTTAATTGGTTTTTATCCGACGTGCTGTTGGGATCGCGAGCGCGAAAGGCGCGAGGAAAGGCGGCTAGCTGGAACGGATCCGTGATTCGTACGTTTTGCGTCGTCGCGGGGTGTCGCGGCGAGGGTGGCCGGGGGCAGGTAACGAATTCGCGACGATCGCGGCAAGGGTAACCGCGGTTCCGCCGCGGCCTGTCCCTCCCCTTTACCTCAGCTCGCTCGTTCCACCGTCCCCACCTTGACACGGACACGGTCGCACGTACCGCGGCGCGTGGCGCAGTCGGCGCTCGCCGCTCGTCGCTGTCGGTTCAAGTGTCGTGGCGCGTGATTCCGTCCCGATTACGTTAACATTTACATATCGAGGGTGAGAGTCGTCGCGCGCTCTCTCTCTCTCTCCCTCCCTCGTCTTCCCTCTTGTGACGCATATCGGTGAAGGTGCGCTGTTTTTGTGATCGCAGGAGCCGCGCAGGGATACACATCGTCGAGATCGACGCCAGGATTCGTATGGGACACGCATCGGGCACGAGGCAGCGTTTGGATCACGTGAGTTTTACTTGAAATTTCTATTACGTTGTGTTATATGAACGACTTGCAATGAATTGTACGCTGAGACGGCGTGCGAAAACCTTCTCCCGTAACATCCCGCGAGACATCGCGGGATAACGGCCGATTGGAAGTCACGTGTTCGCGTTGCTTCGCAATCCGTTGGTCGTTGAAATCGGCGCGAATAAAACGTTATTTAACTTGGTTTTGTTTCGTTGTACCTTCGTACGACAAGCGCGCTGATTATTTGATTAATTGAATCGTAATAATTACGATTCAAGTAAAAGTTATCGACCGACAACGTATTGATTTCAGTTGTTATAATAGAGAAACAAGTTTTAGTTACAACTTTCGGTAATTTTCAGCTTTTGTATCGCTGTTCCGGCATTTTATGCTGAAATACACCGCCGTAAAATCGACGGCATTGTGAAAACATTATTTTTTCATTGTATATTGTTTATGCACGCTTGAAACATCACATTGAATACCGCCGCTCGAATAAGAAACTACCTTAGCCTAACGTGTAATATTCCGCGCGCGAAAATGACCATTTTTCGTGTTCAAATATTAACCCTGCGCGTTGTATATGCGCGTATCGCGCCGCGTAATTCATATTCATCGGGCTTACAAAAAAGTCACCCTCGCGGATTGGACGACGGCACGAGGTAACATAATAATCATAACCGAGAATACCATGCGAGCACGGGGGCGCTAAATTGAATGTCGTATTATCCCTTTTTTTCGTACGCAATTTATGCGAGGAGGAAATGGCAAATATTGACACGTAATTTGTTTCACTAATCCTACTTAGTAAAATCGTAATTCTTTTTTAAGAGAAATAAATCGAGAGGAAAAGACTTTCGACGGAAAGAAATGGAAATATCTCATTACATACACAGTTGGCAAATTTGTGTTTTCTTAAAATTTTTGTGTTAAACGTTTAACACATTCATGTGTCAATTTAACATATTGCTCTTGTGTTAATTGACCTCAAATGTTAAGTCACTAAAATAACTGAAAAGAAATGTTAAAACAACACAATGTGTACTTATTTTTTAATATGACACAATACATATCTTCTATATTATTAGTAACAAAATTTATCTGTTCAGATTTCGAACCGTCATTTGACTTGTTACATCTGTAAAATGTAAAACCTACATTTTTTAACTACATTTTGCCATTAAAAATATGTTAATTTTACACAAAATTTATTTCAAATTACTTTGAGATTCGCATTTATTTTGTGTTAAAATATTAACATTTCCATATTATGTTAAATTAACAAAAAAATCTGTGCGGACCGTTTGGGACGTGTGATATCTGTTAAATTTAACACAGATTTTTCAACTGTGCACGTCTCAGTCACGTATATCTCATTAAATCCAATTCTAAAATTGTCAGATCTTCAGATATTTGATACTTTTAGTGAACATTTGACGTTACTTAATTAGCTTTAATTAGATCTCAATAGATAACTTGGAACGTTCGAGGAAAATGTCAAATCTCTGAAAATCTGCTAATTTTTGTAATTGGATCTTATGAGATATATTTAGTTAATACACGATTGAGACACATGTAATGAGAGTTTTTCAATTTTTTCCCGGGTAATTTGCACAAACGCGTTTTCAAAAAGTATAAAAACTGCTTATATCTGTAAATTTTCTAATATGGAAATATTTTATGTCCAAATAATTGTCGGCGAGACGAAAGCGTAACGCAGGACTCGTGCGTAAAGTTGGCGCGTGGCGTGGAAATTACTAGATTTTCGCGCAGAAAAGACGCAACCCATGGAAATAATTATTGCAATTTGGTCCCGCGTGGATGAGGATATTTCGTGGTATCGAAATTATTCACCGTATCGGAACACCTGCTGCGATTATTATCGGTGCGTAACGGTATTTCTGCGATGCATGTGCGTTGTCGCCGTCACCGCTAGACTTCGCGCTCAAACGCGCCGCTAATGATTGTTCCGCGAACGTTGCGTCACGAGGACGTTTCCCCGAGGTCTTTCGAAATACTATACACTCATGTTTCTATCAATTTACGCTGCTCGCGGATTTAACGCCCCGTTGTTGCAATCGCAACACAGAGTTCTACTTTTTATGCGAATCACACAATGAGGTCGCGTAACATATTTTTATGCGACTAAGGCTATCAATCGAGACTAAGGCTATCGAACGTTCTAAATGTTTCTATAAAGATATCGTAGTGAGAAACGATTCGTCGATCGATGTTGAATCGACGTCAATATTTGACGGTGTCGATGTCGATCCGGCATCGTTTCGACATCGATCGACGAGTCATTTTTCATTGAGGAAATTATTGACACTGTTCTCAGGAATGTGTCACAAAAATTTATTGTTTTATTTTGTTGTTATTATTTGCTGAATTATGTACGTCGGGGGGATTTTATTCTATTCTATTCTAGCCAATCTTTATATCCCTGTGTGTGCGTATGATGATTCTATGTCGAGAAGTCCGTGACAATGTTGCGTATGGAATTGTGAAAGCACGAATTATTTG